ATTTTGAAATTTCGTAATTTTAATGAGTTTGAAATAGTCGATCGATGCAAGTATTAAAATGTCGAACATATTGATGAAGTAATGTATCGGTACAACCATAATTCTGTTTATTTTATTATATAAATGCCTGCCAATGTTTGATATTTGTTATATTTTCAATATAAGCCAGTAAAATCTGCGTGTCTAACCGTGTTAAATTAACAATCTTTTTTTGCATGCCGTATTAGATGATATTCGACTACGATATCACTGCCGTGGAATCGCACGATAAATACATAAACCTATTTCAAACCAGCTATGGATGTGCTGACTGTACATGCGTGAAAGTCAGACTTTTTAAAATTCGCCGTGGATGGCGGTTTAAAATAATCACGGAGGTCGGCAGTTTACTCAAATTTGGGAAGGAAATTTAGAGCGGAATTTTGAGCTTGGCCAGAGCAGATTGATTAACTGACGTATTAACATACTCAGTACAGAAAACGCACCGTCACAGAGTTGTTCACACCTAGCGATAATTAACTCGCCTTTCAGTCCATTTTTCACCCTGGTTAATTAACACACCTTATCTAGAGATTTTAAGCCATAATGAGGAGTTATAATCCGAATTTTATTTTTTTATCGAGATACGTAGGTATTGACCGTTTTGCAAGTTTTTAATGCGGCAAACGTACGTTTTAACCGTTACCTATTTCTCAGTGCAATGACTTGTGAAATCTTGTTGAAACATCGCAGTGAAGTAAACCATAGTAATTGTTATCCATAAATAGTGTGTTATTTGATTATGTTTCAATTAGTAAATGCCATTCAAAGAATAAAACACATACAGATGTTTGATCATTTATGAACATTTGTTGACATTTATTGATTTTCATATTACCAGTTATTCAATCTCCCTTCATGTGTCCAAAATACAATATATTATTAGTCGCATGTTTGAGTCCTCGATTTATAGGTTCATACTTATCTGGTCATACACACTAACATTAAGTGTCAGCCCCCATAATCAAGGACAGTTAATGTAAGTGATTAATACATGGTGTTTCTTATAGTCAGTAACAAATACATATCGGTTCATGTCACATTATGAAGACCATAATCAAATACATGCTTAAAATCAAAGATCCTGGATAGAGGGGGGGTGGGGGGAGTGACATAATGCGTGCATGTGTCCACAATAGACGGCGTTGATGCAGTGTCCTCGGTTTTCGAATGTCAGTCACATGTGACATGTGCAAAATTATCTTTGTGTGTCCTCTCTTATAGATGAAAAATTCTCATTCTCAAAAACAGTTGGAGGAGGAGATATAGTGTAGCGAATATGGATAAAAAATTGAACTTAGGGTCAAAGGTAGTTGTCCATGGAATACTCTTCACATTAGTATCTGTCTTGGATTGGTAGGTCAATAATTCAGCCCAGGTCTTCTGATCTGCTCGTTTAAATGCCTTTTGTATAATTTTCTTGGGATATCCAGATTGTTTAAGATAGGACATAAAATTTTTTAGGTTTGATTTGGTTCAGCTATCTTTGCTACAAATCTGTTTTATACGTAAGTGCACCACTGTAAGGGATAGCGTTAGTATTTTTTACTGACGAAACATTGGAGAAAACGATGGGTTTTTAATATTGTATTCTATTAATTATTGTATATCACATTGTATATCGCGTATAAGAACTAATTCTTTTTTTAACATGAAAGATAGGTTGCCAGGCAACAAAACATACGCCCATAGCAGCTAAATCGGCCGAGCGGTCGACAAGAATTGTCGCATATTTATTCCTTTGTAGGTAATTGGGGGCCTTTACAAGACAATTCCATACAGATCAGAATATAAATTTTGTCGTTTGAGGGTTTATAAGGTTCTACAAACTGAAACAAGGGTCTCAACTCTTGGAAGTAATCTACAGAAATTGTTGAAATTTGACAGGCTTTTTCATTTTACTAATTTAAATAATGCATATAAATTTCATACAGATCACATGATCACTTTTGTCATTCAAACGTTCACAAGGTTCACAATCGCCATAACTCTAGAAATTATTGATGGAAATTGCTGAAATTCAATAGACCTCTATTTCACAAATTTAAATGATGCATATAAATTTCATATATATCGGATGATAAGTATCTGAGGTTGATTGAGAACACAAGCAATTACGTGCATGTTTTTGTTTATACGTCGCCATTTTGGGGTATTGAATTGCAAGCAAAAACAAAATGGATTGTAATACGAAGTCAGACGAATAATCAATCCTTTTTAGCCAACATATTGACGATGGAATAAATGTGAATTCAAATATCGATGAGGATTTATCCAAAGCCTGAAGAAAATTGGGATCAAAAGGCATTCTTTTCCGATAATTCTGACAGTGAACTCGGATTGAAGGTTTTCGGTACGTTCAGAGAAGGATTTGACCGATTCTTTTAAGTGGACTGTACCCAAAAATACTTTATAAAGGAACTCTTGGGCGATAAATACTTTCAAGTCTAGGAGTGTGTGAACGGAAAGAAAATTCTGAAAGATATCTTAAACATGGAGTATGAATAACTGATTTAATTATGCCGATAAGTACGCCGTCTATTTCGCTCCTGAATGTTACAAAGTGTACTGCCATAACAATTTTTAATTGTCAAAAGAATAAAAATTTATTTCTGTGTTTTTTGTATTATTTCGATCATCTACGTCATCAGCGGTTGATATGAACGAATATATCAACCTATGATGACGTCATGACAGGTTGTTATGAGATATAACTGCTATGGACATCAAAGAAAAAACTACCGCCAGTTGTATATCTCTAGAAGTAATAAACGGAAATTGCTGAAATTCAACAGGATTCTTCTCTTGAGTAATTTAAATGACACATGTTAATTTCATACAGATCTGCAGAGCGTTAGAGTGTTCCCATGATGCAACAAAGTGAAACAAGGGCCATAACTGTAGAAATAATTGACGGAAATTGCTGAAATTCAAAAGGATTCGTCTCTTGACTAATTTAAATGGCACAGATAAATTTCATACAGATCAGCAGTTAACTTTTAGAAGTTAGAGCATTCACAAAGTGCAACAAAGTAAAACAAGGGCCATAACTCTAGAAGTAATAAACGAAATTGATGAAATTCAATAGGATTCTTCTCTTAACTAATTTAAATGACACATGTAAATTTCATACAGATCAGCAGAGCGTTAGAATATTCCCATGGTGCAACAAAGTGAAACATGGGCCATAACTCTAGAAGTAATTGACGGAAATTGCTGAAATTAAATAGGCTTATTCGTTTCACTAATTTAAATATTCCATATAAATTTCACAAAGATCGGATGTGAACTTTTGGCATTAGAGTGTTCACAAGGCTCAAAAAAGTGAAAGAAGGGCCATAACTCTAGACGGAATAAATGGAAATTATTGAAATTAAATAGGCTTCTTCATCTCACTAATGTAACAACATACATCAATTTTAAAGCGTTCACAAGAAATTGTGGACGATGGACGAACGGATGGACCGACGGCAATATACGTCCACATTTCAATGTGGGCGTATAAAAATGAGAACATCTAAAATGGACTTGAGCATTGCTGTGACCACATATGTCATCTTGACTGGACTATTATCATTAATTAAAACCAAAATTAAGATGAATGAATTCTAGATTCAAACTGATTTTTTTGCAATTTTATAGCACCTTCTTAATGATTTTCAAAGCTCTGAAAATTCAAGTCATATCATATGATTTTTTATTAGTATTTCTACCACTGAAATGAGTTAATAATAAGTTTTTTGAAATGAGTTGACTATCAGGCCCGTAGCTAGCACCGGAGGAGAGGAACTATGAAAATGTCGGAAAATTTCAATTTTGAGGCTGAATTTGTGATATTGGCGTATTATGATATTTTGATATGAACATTACAAAAATTTGAAGGAATGAATACAACGTTAGCTTACCAAATAATAATTTATGAGAAAAACGAGAAGTACGGAATCGGGTTAGAGTGTGAATTGTTTGAATTTTGAAGATTATCACGCTGTTTTGGGTCCCCAATTCATTCGTCGGTGCCTAACCAATTATATTATATGATCTTTTCGTGGGCTGCCCACCAATCTCGCCACTGTGGACGCATCTCCTGGATGAGGCACCCCACCAATCACGACTCCCTTCCGAGAAGGGTCTAGGGTGTTCTCCCCCCAGAAAATTTTGGAAAATAGGGTTTGTACCTGTGGAGAGGAACTATGAAAATGACAGAAAATTTCAATTTTGAGGCTGAATTTGCGATATTGGCGTATTATGATATTTTGATATGAACATTATGAAAATTTAGCTTACCTATAATAATTTATGAGAAAAACAAAGAGAGAGAGAGAAATGGGGTTTAACGTCCACTCGACACCGACTAGGTCATTTCGGGGCTAACACATGGTTTAATTTTATTTCAATAATTCGCTTGTGCGTAGGGGTGTTTAGTAGTGGGAGGAAACCGGAGGACGCGGAGAAAACCCATGAGGTTGGACAGCCAACCCTACTCCTTGTCACGTACAACCGGGGATTCGAAACCACGCCAGTTAACTCAATGACAGGCCTCATGATACAGCGCGCTCGTGCTAACCATTCAGCCATCATGTATAAACCCAATGACACTGGTTGGGGGCCCCGCCAATCTCGTCGTGGGCACCCAACCAATGTCACTCGGCTTTATGTGGCGTCCATATATGGGCAAGTTGGTCATTGGTTTCGTATTGCGTCCAATAGAAAGGATGCCTTCGGGCGCCCATTTTTTCCAGGGCGGGGGGCATGCCTCTCTTGCCCACCCACTAGCTACATGCATGACTATTATGATGGGAATATAAGGTTTGGTTAATTAGTAAGAACTCTGTTTTGTTCGTCATGCCTACCTGCTAGCTACGGGCATGACTATTATGATGCGAATATAAGGTTTGGTTAATTAGTAATAACTCTGTTTTGTTCGTCATGCATGGCTGCTTAGCAACAAAACTTAAAATCACCTGCTAAATATCCCATTTCAATATATTCCGAGTGACCGTTTGGTAAAGGTATACCTTGCATTTTCCGCCGATGGAATCGTGGTGAGCCCAGAAAACTATTCTTTATTGTATGTAGTCTTGATTTCCAGGGTGTACCTTGTATACCGGGTGAGCCAGGTGGGGTAGCTGATGGACTGTGAGTTGGAGTACATCGATGTGAAAGTTTAGGACTGGATAATGGAGAGCTACCGGGACTACTACTAAGACTAGCCTTCCTTCTGAAACAAAGAAATGAAGGGTCTATTATTTCATCTTTTAGATAATATATATTCAAGTGCTGTTAATATGAAGTGACTAACACTAGTAAGTTATTGTAGACAGTAAAGCAATTTTATTGATTTCACAAAATTTCATCTTTTAGATAATATATATTCAAGTGCTGTTAATATGAAGTGACTAACACTAGTAAGTTATTGTAGACAGTAAAGCAATTTTATTGATTTCACAAAATTCTTAAGGAACAGAAAGCCAATATAATATAATGCAGATCGGATGATAACAAAGTAAAACAAGGGCCATAACTCTGGAAATTTTTGAAATTCAAAAAGCTTCTTTGTTTTACTAATTTAAATTTCATACAGATCAGATAACTTTACTCTAGAAGTAATTAACAGAAATTGTTGAAATCAAACAGGCTTCTTTGTCTCACTAATGTTAACAATATATATAAATTTGAAACTGATCAGATAATAAATTTGGCCTGTAGAATGTTCACAAGAAATCGGGGACTGTGGATCGACAGACCAACGGATTGAGGCGACGGCAATATACTAGAGCTGGGCGATATTTTGTTTTTTCGATATAAAACATCACAGAAATAAAGATAGTTAGCCAGGCAACGAAACATTGTCCGAGCGGTCGTCAAGGGTTGTCGCATATTTATTCCTTTGTAGGTAATTGGGGGCCTTTACAAGACAGTTCCATACAGATCAGATTATAATTTTTGCTGTTTAGGGTTCACAAGGTTCTACAAATTGAAACAATTGTCTCAACTCTGGAAGTAATCTACAGAAATTGTTGAAATTTGACAGGCTTTTTCCTTTTACTAATTTAAATAATGCATATAAATTTCATACAGATCACATGATCACTTTTGTCATTCAAACGTTCACAATCGCCATAATTCAAGAAATTATTGACGGAAATTGTTGAAATTCAATAGACCTGTTTCACAAATTTAAATGATGCATATAAATTTCATACATATCGGATGATAACTATCATCAATCGAGCATTAACAAGGTTTAACAAAGTGAAACAAGGGCAATAACTCTAGAAGTAATTATTGTAAATTGCTGAAATTCAATAGGCTTTTTCGTTTCACTAATTTAAATCATGCATATAAATTTCACAAAGATCGGGTGATAACTTTTTGCATTAGAGCGTTCACAAGGATCAATAAAGTGAAACAAGGGCCATAACTCTAGACGTAATAAACGGAAATTGCTGAAAATCAATAGGCTTCTTCGTTTCACTAATTTAAATAAGGCATGTAAATTTCAGAAAGATCGGATGATCACTTTTGGAGTTAGAGCATTCACAAGGTTCAATAAAGTGAAACAAGGGCCATAACTCTAGACGTAATAAACAGAAATTGTTTAAATTCAATAGGCTTCTTCGTTTTACTAACTTAAATATTGCATATAAATTTCACAAAGATCGTATATTAACTTTTGGCATTAGAGCGTTCACAAGGTTCAACAAGGTGAAACAAGGGCCATAAATCTAGACGTTATAAACGGAAAATATTGAAATTAAATAGGCTTCTTCATCTCACTAATTTAAACAATATATATCAATTTTAAAACAATTGGATGATAACTTTTGGCGTTAGAGCGTTCACAAGAAATTGTGGACGACTGACGGACGTACGGACGAACGTACGGACGGGGGCGATATACATCCACATTTCTATGTGGGTGTATAAAAACCAGCGGCTGCCAGGCAGGATTACGCCCACATTTTGCACAAGATGAAAATGGGATTTTTTGTACAATCAGGGGCAATAATCCAGAAAGTTATGGTCTGAAATGCGCAAATATCAAAAGGGACTGAGATCTTTGGGATATAAAGATATGTTTTAAGTTTCATCAGAATCAAACTCAACCAAAATTATGGTGTATCAGTGATATATTAGAACGTTTTTTTAAATCGGATAATAATTGTGACATCTAGAGGGACCTCAAGCTAAAAATGCGATTTTTCGTACAATCTGGGGCCATATGGAAAAGAACCCAAGATCTTTGAGTTATAAAATTACATTTCAAGTTTCATCAAAATCAAAAGAAAATTGTGACCTCTAGAGGGTCCACAACATTGATATACCATATTTTTACGCTATTTGAGTACGAGGGGTGGCCATTTTGTCTGTCAGTTTTGGTCCGATTTTCATGAAATCCGAACTCAGCCAGCCTTAGGGTGTAACAGTGATATACTAAAACGTTTTTTTAAATCGGATAAAAATTATGACCTTTATAGGGTCCACAAGGTAAAAACGCGATTTTTCAGACAATCATGGGCCATAATTCAGGAAGTTACGGTCTGATATGCGCGAATATCGAAAGGAACCAAGATCTTTGGGTTATAAACTTACATTTCAATTTTTAACAAAAGCGGATAAAAATTGTGCCCTCTACAGGGTCCACAAGCTAAAAACGCGATTTATCGTACAATCAGGGGCCATAATTCATGTAGAAATGGTTCCACTACTGATATCTTCCGCCTTACTCCAGCCACAGTAGTGGCTCGTCCTAGAGAGTTCCTTTGCGCAAGTTTTTTAGTCAAATGACTACAAAAAGGTTACTGGCCTATAGCTCCCTTAATTTACACATAAACTGACCCAAAACAGTACTGCACATAGTTTAACATATAATAAATCAATTCCCATAATTATATGATTTGATGAAACCTAACTGCTACTTGAAATTTCAGCTGGCCGGTGTCATGGCGGCTTGCATAATAGGTCATTACAAGAAACATCGCTATGCAAATGTAGAACGCATAACCACAAAGAAAAACTGTTCGGTAACTATTTTAGTGGCCCAATCTTCACTATTTGTCATAGAATTACTTATTCCAATACAAACTGTACTGATATGTGTTGACAATTGTGTGTTTGAACCTATTTGAACTTGTGTAAGGAGTCTTAGACTGTATCAATTGTTACGTTAAACACACAGTTTAACATAATCCTTTAGTGGCATTTAGCAATTGGAAACATAACAAAACTATACAGTTATATGGGACAACAATCACTGGTTTATTAACCAGTGATTGTTGTCCCATATAACTGTATAGTTTTGACACAGTTTAACGTTACAAGTACAGTAACTATAATCCATGATGTTACGGTCCGATACATGCCAATATCGAAAGGATTCGAGATCTTAAGGAGATAAACCTATATTTCAAGTTTGAAATCGGATAAGAATTGTGACCTGTAGAGTGTCCATAAACAATTGTGGACAGACGGATAGGGGCGACGACAATATACGTCCACATGAAAACGTGGGCGTATAAAAAAGAGTTTGCTAGGGTAAATGAATAGCATCCAACCGTAATCAGAGTTATAAAAATCATGCACAGCCGAAAGAACAAAGGCTTTTTTTAAATGCTTTTTGTGCCTCCTTCATGTAAATATTCTTAATATAAATAAAATATTACAATTAATATACTGGAAATTAAAATTGTAATAAACAACATAGACCATTATTTTTAGCAAGTCTTCATGGCTATAATTAGATCATGGACCTTATGATTGGATATATGTTTGTATTAGCTCATTAAATTTGGTACTGTATTTATGCTAAAACTTTTAATAATATTGACTAGAAAGTGTCAAGTGAATATTACGGTGGTATTTTCAACTTTTTAAGCATGTTTATTCACATTTAAAGATTGGTTGCCAGGCAACGAAACATACGCCCACAGCAGCTAAATCGTCCGGGAAGTCAACAAGAGTTGATTAAGAGTAACAACTCATTAAGTAATTATCAGAAAACTATTAGAATTTGTTTGGTTTTTATAAAGTTCTGCCCCATGCTAATGTTTAGTATACGCAACTTTTAACATCATGGATTTAGCTGTTCACGTCATAAAAATTCATTGAAAATCAATATACTTGTTCGTCTCAAGACCTTAAACTCTGTGTATCAATCTGAAGTCAATTGGATAATAAGATTTTTTTAAGTGATCAAGGGCCATAACTCTGGCAGTTATCGGAAATCGCTGAAAACCAATAGGATTCTTCGTCTCATGACCTTAAACACTGTGTATAAATTTAAAGTCAATTGGATATTAACTTTAGCCCCTAGAACGTCCACAAGCAATTGTGGACCAACGGACGGGGGCGACGACAATATACGACCACATTTCAATGTGGGCGTAGAAAAAGTGATAAACTGAAATTATTTACATTTTATAAAATATTGTGATATAGTGATTATATCGCGATATTTTAACAAAATATTGCGATATCTGTTTCCAGGGATATCGCCCAGCTCTACTATATACAACCACATTTCCATGTGATATACAATAATTAATAGAATATAATATCAAAAGATAGGTTGTCAGGCAACGAAACATACGCCCACAGCAGCTAAATCGTCCGTGCGGTCGACAAGGGTTGCTGCATATTTATTCTTTTGTAGGTAAATGGGGGCATTTACAAGACAATTTCATACAGATCAGATTATAATTTCTATCCGTTGAGGGTTTACAAGGTGCTACAAATTGAAACAAGGGCCTTAACTCTGGAAGTAATATACAAAAATTGTTGAAATTCAATCAACTTCTTCAAATGATGCATATAAATTTCATTTTGTCGTTGGAGCATTCATAGGGTTCGACAAAGTGAAACAAAGGCTATAACTCCAGTAGAAATTAATGGAAATTATTGAAATTAAATAGGATTCTTTATCTCATTGATATAAACAACACATATCAAGTCCATGACGTCATCATTCCTATGATGTCATAACTTCCTATGGTGTCACAATTGACTTCCAGTTAGTATTTTTACTGACGAAACGTTGGATAAAACGATGTTATTTTGATATTGTATATCAATTATTGTATATCAAATTATTTGAATATCAAATGCATCATTTTGACTTAGTCAAAATTAATCCCATCAAACCGTCTGTAATTGGTTTGTGTTACCTGTTTCTATTGATTGGAAGTTTCTCACATTTCCATGTGGGCGTATAAAACAGAT